GGGGGGGGGGGGAGAAAAAAAGAGATCATTCCGTCATGTATAACATACCGGGAACTCTCTTCAATCGCGGTAGGAACTCGTTCCAAAATGCACAGGCCGTCGTGCGGGGACCTCTGCCGAAGCCGCTCTTCTCCGCGTTCCAGATAAAATACTGCGGATGGTCTTTGGTGTAAGGTGGCCAGTCGGACTCGTCCACCGTCGGCAATCTGGAAAATAATTCAGGAGGTAAGGCGATACGTCACTCGCAAATCGCGCCCTTCGACTTTCCACCTACGAGCGAGTTGCGATCGACAAGGGAGGCAGGCGGGTGAGGCGGAGGTAAAGGCGGGGGAAACGAAGAGTAACGAGGAGAGGAAGACGCGGCAAGTTGGATGCAGAACTGTTCGAACTTCAAACGGAATCGAGATGGGGATCTCTGTCTCTGATAAAGGAAGCGCGGCGGTTCGCTCACTCGGAGAGGTATCGGAAGCTAGACGCAAGCACGAACGTTTGTCGGGAATGAGAAAGAAAGAGAGAGAGAGAGAGAGAGAGAGAGAGAGAGAGAGAGAGAGAGAGAGAGAGAGAGCGAGAGAGAAGTAAATGGGAAAAGCTGTGATGCGGCGTTAGCTAACATACGTTTCGTTATCCAATGGAATTCGCGCAAAAGTCGCATCGCTAATGTACGTGCGGGGCCGTACCGAGAAATCGGATATCCTTTCGCCGGTGTATTTCAACGAGAACCTTCCTCAGATGTCTCATGAAATTTTAACTGTCAAGCAGATCCTTCTCTGCGATTTCAGTTATCTCGATTCTACACAGCAAAATGCGAACTTTTTCGAATATTTCGCGAGCTACATTTTTAGCGCGCGTCTGCACACATATATCGTGGAATGATCGATATTCCGAGGAGTCCTGACGATTTATCTGGAATTCTATACGCACACACATATCCCTAATTTTAAAATACTGTCTTTTTTTGACGTGGCTTAATGAAACAAATTTTATTAATGTTTATTTTACTAAAAGATATCAAAGTCATAGGAACGAGGTTTCTTGTTTATCGGAAACGTGCGAGAAAATAAAAAAAAACTGTGACGTGTGGCGTTACCTGCGCATGTTTCGTTACATAGCACTCGCGAAAAGTTGGGTCGCTAATGTACATACAGAGTGTGCCGAGAGAAATCGGATACTCCGCAGTGTTTCTCATTCCGAAAACATATTATTTCTCCCTTTTTTTAACTTTATATTCATTGAAAAACAATACGCCAGCGCTTCACATGGTATCATCAATCCAAAACCCTGAAGAGAGTTTCTCAGTTTCCATAACAATTAATTAATTACCGCCTCGACTCGAAGACAATCGATATTTTCCATCGCGATGATCTAAGTTCGCTAATTGAGTTTTACTTCGAAGAGTAATGAACATTCGTTTACGGGGAGCGCAGGAGTTTCAGCTTTCCAATGGTTCTTACTTCAAGCTGCTATGATTACTGGAAATAGAGATATTGACGGTAATGTCGAGCCGCGCTGTTGGAGTGAAGTAACCTGCTGTGCGACATAACGAGTGAGTGGCTGACAAGTCTGCATCCTTTATATTAGGTTTGTTCGCGTTGCTTTGCACTTAATACCTGTTGCACAGCAGATGCGATGAGCGAAATCCAATGAAAGCTTTTCTTTCTAAAAAAAGGTTCAGTCAATAGCGTAGCCAGAAAAAGTTTCGAGGGAGGACTGTACTTTTTATTTTTGATGAGCAAAAGAAAGGTCATTCGAAAAAATTTTTCTTATACTTAGCGTAACCCAGAAAATTAATTTCGGGGCTGCAGCTCCCTTCTGGCTACGCCATTGGGTTCAGTATGCAATAGGCGTTAAGTGTAAAATTGTCAGAAGTGCAAGCAACACGAACAAACTTATTATTGTGTCTCTAGAACGCGGACTTGTCCCTATCTGCGCGCTACTATTTGACTACACTGAGGAAAAAATTACTTTAAAATCAACAAATATTTCTTTGATGGGCGCCATTAACATATTTATTTAAATCTAAATTCTCTTTATTAAAATCAAATATTGTTTACTTGATTTAAGTAAACAATATTTAATTTAAATAAAGAATTTAGATTTAAATAAATACGGTAATGGCACCCATCAAAGAAATATTTGTTGATTTTAAGGTAATTTTTCTCTCAGTAGAGGAGACCGGGGTAGGTTCGCAGTAGGGGTAGGTTCGCAAATCGTTTCGTTCACGTACTTATTGTGAAACAAACAGTTCGAGTGGAATCATAAAACATTTCGTTTAGTGTAAAGATACTTATTTCCAATTTTCATTACAATTGCACAAATATTACAGGTAAAAGAAAGAAAAAACTGATTTGAGATCAGTTGAGTAAAGTTTTAGACGTCTCGAAATATTCTCCTTGCATTTTCTATCGTGAATGAATGAACTGAAGTTATGTAATATTAGTTAAAATGAAGTTTATTGAAAATATATGATACACTGTTTTGTATAATAACAGTGAACTTTATTCTTAAAATTATTAAAATCGCAGAAATGAGCAGATGGGGTAGATACGCTAATTTTTCTGTATGGTAGGACTGATGAACTGGTGCACACTGGTGTAGCTACGTGCAAAGAATAGGTTATTAAACACATAGTTCACAATGCATAGTGATTATAGCATCATAAGACACAATGCAACGCGCACATATGATGATGTATACATGATGTATGTTACATAAAATGTATACACATATAAAGTATGTTATATAAAATTATTTCCTTTTGTTTTTAAGTATAAATAAAATTGTAAGCACAAAGATATCGTATATGGTATCTTATTGTATAATTTATTAATTTAACATTCTTTAAAGTGTATAATTACATGTATTTTATGTAATGCTAACCTACCCCGGGGCAGGTATGCCCTGTATGTTGATATTTTTATTATTACAGACGAAACTATATAGTTTGTAGCATCGTCGATAGGATCAAAATGTAGAGGAAGGTTGTCTCTATCATTATTATATAGCCAATTAGAACAGTTAAATATATTAAATTGTTTTACCATCGAAATTCGAAAAAATTAGCGAACCTGCCCCGCTCTCCCCTATATACTCTGCAATTTTAATGCATGCGCACAGAGAACTTTTAGTCCTTATCTTCTTTCTATTTCGCACACAACTTGGACGCACTTTTGATTTACAAGAGACAAAAACGTTCCCTTTTCATGTATATATGTTCTATAAAATTTTACTGTATCTCATTCCCCCTACTTACGATCATACAAGGCCCAAACAGAGATGAGAGAGGAACCAAGGATTTCTCTCTCTCTCTTTCTTTCTCTCACACACACACACACACACACACACACACATCTCGTTTACTGTAGGTATTGTATGGCAGCACACATTCCAATTATTTTAGTGCATTACATTAGTATGTGGCGTGTTGAGGTTAGACTACAAAGTTTACTAATGGCGAACGTAATGTAACTTTAAAGGATTATAATTCACGAACAAACCAATGCAGAGCTACGAAACAAAAAGCGATTTTCTCGACACGCGTGTCTATGCCATTCCCCAAATAAACTTTCGTGATTATTACGACATGAGGTGAATCATCATATAAAATTTACTATTTTTTTTAAATTACATTTACGAGGGATATGTTTTACTGATTTTATTGATTTTAGCTCCGTGTTTTATTTTAATTTCATTATTATCGTCTCTTATTTACTAATAAGGAATATTTTGCTGATGTTAATGATTAATAGAAAATAAAACCAGTTGCGCTATCTATTGGGCTTGAAAGTTTTGAAACCAATTCTTCTGGAAATGGCAAAAAGTATACAATGAAACTTATATATTTGTAATCTTGATTATTTTTAGTTTAATTAATTAATTGGGAAATCGGGTTTAATTAATTAATTTCGAATATGAAGAAATTAGGGAGCAATTTAACCGCACTTTTTATTTGTGGGATATAAAAAATTTATATTTGTAAATAAATTTTATATTCCACAACGAAATTATCAACTATTTTTTTCTCAATATATCTTATACCTGATCTTATATCTGTATTTCTATATATTTAAAAAAAGTGTCAAAAAATATTGATTTTCAACAAGGTTATTTATGGTTCCAGACAACATGCATGTGTCTAAAAGACATCTTATTTCTGACGTTTTAATTGTCTTAAAGACGTTTAAATGTCTTAAAGACATCATAGAAATGTCTTTCTGACAACTTTTTAATAAATCTTAAAAATTTTAAGATGTCTTTGTGACGTCTTTAACACGTTATAATGCTGTCTAAGATAGTTTAAAGCTGTCTGGCAGATCCAGATTGTACTCTATATTCTAAAAAAATATAATTGTACATAGGATATTAATTATTAAATTCACATAACACAATAACATAACATAACACAATAACATTTTTGATCATATTGATGCACCAACAAATCTACTGAAAGTTACATTCAGGTTTTCATGTTACATTTGACACATTGTTTTGAGCAAATTTTGATAATTTTGTTAGTATTTCTTTTCTACCTCTCTGTTTCATTATTCTGCAAAGATTTGTGCCATATAAACAATTCATAAAAGACGCAATTTTTATGAATTGCATATTTTATAAAATTGATGCTAAATTTACGTACTAAAAAAAAAGTAGTTAAAAAGTTTATTTTTGTATTTATTTTTATAAAGATTGCAGAAATAGAATTTTATATCCTAAAAATGAATGTTTAAGTGTTTTTTCTCCATGTACATTTTTTTATCTGAGTATTTCATCGCTTATTCCGATAGAACGACCGAACGACCGATAACCGAACATTGCACGAAAAAATGACTCGAATCGTAAAACCTGTTACACGACGTATTTTTCTTTTACTTGCAGTAGAACCGTTTTTTATGACGATAGACAATATGTGTATCTGTCAGTTTTGCATTTGAACCGTGAGAAGTCGAGTTTTTACTCTTAGTTTTGAAACTACAGGGTGTCCCAGACTCTCCTACGCAATTTTTATGGGAACGTAGAAGGAATTGAGGTGAACATAAAAGTCCTATATCATTTTTTTTATATTCGTAATAAGAGAGTAATGAGATATTAATTAAAGAATTGGTAAATGATTACACGTGATATGGTAGATGAGTTATAGTGGCGCCGTCTGCCGTTATATACTTAAACATTAGGTTAAATTGAACAAAAAAGTCCTTTATTATTTTTCATATACCACGTAGATTAAATATTTATTAAAGAAGATTTGCGCATTATTGCGCACAAACATATAACAATTTTCTTTCATAAATAACTAGAAATCTACGTGGTTATTTGCAAAATAATAAAGGGCTTTTTTGTTCAATCTGACTAAAGTGGACTAGAATGGTTTGAAATCTTAAAAAAATCGATTTTGCAGGTTTTTACATAATCGTTTAGTACAATTCTTTAAGAACATTTTGGCGCAAAAAGAACCATGATATTCACAAAATTGAGTTCAAGGGAGCGAAAAATGTGAGGCCGCGCGCGGGCGGCGAATCATGTAGTGTACGAAATGTAGATATTGTTTATTTAAAACAAGCTGATAAACGGTAATAACGGTTCAAAAAGAAATAATAATATCGGAAACGAAGGCTATTAGCGTGTGGAGGTTATTGCTAACAAATATAAAAGTAACAACAAAAGAGACGAGAACAGTCGGTCGGTCTATAATAGAAGTAGTCGGTCGTTTATTTTTCAAAACAGCATTTTACGCTCGTTTTGCCACGATTACTCAAGAACGGCTAAAGATATCGACTTGATCTTTTTTTTAAATTAAAGATAAAGACGTACTGCATAGATTGAACCGAAGTTTGCATATGAACATTAATTTTTTAATACCGTTTTAACAATAAATAACTGGAATTTTTAGACATTTTTTGTTTTTTATTCGCTATTTCTCTAATTTTTGAGATTTTTAGTTCCATTTCGGTTCAATTTATAGAGGGAAATTTTATTTACAAAATGACGCCTGGCACATTAAAAAATTCCTACTAGTTTTTCCGGAATCGTTGCAAAACTGCAAAAACAACGTTTTTTTTAATTTAACAATATCTTACTCAATTATTAATATTTTTTGAACTTCTTATTGTATCCTCGCTTATTGTATTCCTAAAAGTATGTGTAAAAACTAAAAAAAACAAATCTTGTGTTTATTTATTCGTCCTTGTACGTTTATTTATTCGTCGACAAACGTCATTTGAATTTTATTCAATTTTCGGAAGATAAAACCGTTCTAGTCCCCCCCCTTAATATGATAAGCACACAATAGTACATATCACCACTGTAATTCATTTACCATATCGCGCGTGATCATTCACTAATCTTCTTTAACCCGAGTAGAAATTTATCCAGTTTCTGACCAGTCCAGGAACTATCCAGGAATTTTTGGTAACTAGCTAGTTTTTAGTCAGTTTTCTTAACTAGAAACTGACTGGTTTAGTCGACGCTCACTTTGTCAAAAACTTGACAGTTTTAGATCAGTTTTTAATTAAATTTTGATCAGTATCTAATCTGTTTATTAGCAATTTCTAAGCAGTTTTTTACTAGTTTCTATGTAGTTTTTGACTATTTTATAAGCATTTTTTTTATTGGTTTCTGATCAGTATCTATTTTTTTCAGTCTATTAATAGTTATAAATAATTTAACTATATATGTATTGAAACTATGATTTTATTAAAATTAAATTTTTATAATCTTTATTTAAAAATTTTTTTTTCATCTTTAATATAATATTTTATTTTATTTTGGTCAGGAACTATCTCAAAAAAATTCGTCAGTAATTTCCGTTTTTTTTTCTGGACAGAAAATGCACAGCATTTGTTTACCTAGTTTCTGACAAAAATCTACCCAAGAAATACTAAACAGTATTTTCAGAGTTTTTAATAGACAGAAACTGTTCAGTATTTACTTACTATTTTTTCAAGTCTAATTTCTGACTAGTAATTGGCCATGAAAAAATAGTCAGTATTTTCTGCCAAGTTTCAAAACAGTAACTGTCTAATGAATCCTAGCCAGTAAAAACTATCTAGTTACTGGCCAGTAATCAGTTTTTCCCTGAGATGTTTCTACTTGAGAATATCTTGACTATTATTGCGAATATCACAAAACGCTATAGAACTTTTATGTCCACCTCAATCCATTCTACGTTTCCATAAAAATTGCGGAATTGTGAGACACTTTAAATACAATAATAAAATAAATACTTCTAATGTAAGGGAGTTAAAATATAGACGTAAGCGAAATATATTTTTATTTCTCATTTCGACTTTCTCTCTCTCTCTCTCTCTCTCTCTCTCTCTCTTACTCTAGACTTACTCCACATATCATAGATCCTTCAAATACGCGCGCAATACGTCGATCGGATGTCGAAAGATATAAAACTCGTATTCCGCCCACAGAGCGATACGTCATAATAACCTTAAATCTCGATAAATCCATTCGCGACAGAACAGGGAACCGCTCCCTTTTTCTCTTTTGGTCGAAAGTTGATAGCTGAAAGCTAGAAGTCTCCCGCGGAAGAGTTCAAAGCAGGAAAATGAAAGAAAACTATATAATCGTAATTTTTTCGCAATTAATCCGGCTGATTTACTGTGATTTTAATGTTCTCCATGAATATAAGAATAACTACACGTGCAACTCAATCGGGCAGATTTTATGATATATTAAGTGGATGAGAGAGGAAAGAGGTAGATGTACATGTGCAGACACGAATCGTATTGCATTTTGAATAAAATTGAAAATACATTTGTTTCGCCGCATATTTAATTTTACACATAATCAGAATCGGCAAACATAATTAAATACATGATAAATTTATAAACTTACGTTCAATTGGGAGAGAATTCAGGTGTTTTTAATTAAATTTGGAGCAGGAGAAATTGTAGGAAAAGTCTGCGATCGGAGAGCGAATTTTCAGCGTATCAATTTTTGAGTATGGGTTTGTAATTACGACAAAAGTTGCACGAAGCTAAGCTAATTGCTGTATATCGCTTATCGTGCCTGTGAGTGAATATTTTTGTTGACGGTAGGCTTCTTTGTGCACTTCGACATAACTAAGATATCGCGCGACTAGAAAATTATTCTCGTGCGTTGAAACGAACGCGGCGGGTACAGCAACATTTTCGCGTTAACAAATGGAACTTTAGTTTCGGACGTGGAACCGGCGAGTTTCTGACTAACTTACTCTTTTTCGCAGTTATAATTTGAATTTAAATTAACTTCGTTTCACACATCAGCGAACTCGTCCGCAAACGGTGCCGGCGCGCATGGTGTGTCACTTACATTTACAATTTTGCGCCGCACATATCAACCGGAACGTGTGAAAATTCCTATTGAATATTTCGCACGTTAATCCGGTGAAATTATAATAAAACCCATCGGACGCCACATTCCCAGAACGGAATATTACTCGAGAAATTTAATTTAGCTCCGATTCTTCACGTTTTAAACGTACACTCAGCCACCCTGGCTTCTCACGCGTGTGCTCGCACCGAGATCGCTTGGAATTTCAGTACACTGAGAGAGAGAAAGATTATTAACCCTTTGAATTCGTTATATAGGGTAGCCCAGAACAGCCTTCGAAGCTCTCATGAAGGCATAGTACGGATTGAAGTGACAATAAAAATCTTATACCGTAATTTTATACGTTTTGTGACATTCTCAATAATTATTGAAATATTAACGGGTCTAGAACGATTTCATCTTCCGAAAATTAAGTGAAATTCGAATGACGATTGTGGATGAACAAATAAACATACACAAGGTTTGTTTTTTTAGTTTTTATATATACTTTTAGGAATACAATAAGCGGTAGAAGTTCAAAAAATATTAATAATTGAGTGAGATTGTTAAATTAAAAAAATGTTGTTTATGCGGTTTTGCCACAATTCCGGAAAAACGAGTTAAAATTTTGTAATGTGCCAGGCGTCATATTTTGTAGATAAAATTTCCCTTTATATATTGAACCGAAATAGAACTAAAAATCTCAAAAATTAAAGAAATAGCAAACAAAAAACCAAAAATGTCTAAAAATTCCAGTTATTTATTGTTGTGGTTTGGTCGACGCTCACTTCATCAAAAACTTGACAGTTGAATTAGACAGTTTTAAATCAGTTTTTAACTAGATTTTGATCAGTATTTAACCTGTTTATTATCAGTTTCTAAGCAATTTTTTACTACTTTCTATGTAGTTTTTGATTATTTTATAAGCATTTTTTTATTGGTTTCTGATCAATATCTCTTTTTTCCAGTTATTTATTGTTTTCAGTTATTTATTGTTAAAACGGTATTAAAAAATTAATGTTTATATGCAAACTTCGGTTCAATCTATGCAGTACGTCTTTATCTTTAATTAAAAAAAAAAGATTAAGTCGATATCTTTAGCCGTTCTTGAGTAATTGTGGCAAAATAAGCTGAAAATGCTGTTTTGAAAAATAAACGACCGACTGCTTCTATCCGAATAGAAATTTATTCAGTTTCTGACCAGTAACTGTCCAGGAATTTTTGGTAACTAGCTAGTTTTTAGTCAATTTTCTAGAAACTGACTGGTTTGGTCGACGCTCACTTCATCAAAAACTTGACAGTTGGACTAGACAGTTTCAAATCAGTTTTTAACTAGATTTTGATCAGTATTTAACCTGTTTATTAGCAGTTTCTAAGCAATTTTTTACTACTTTCTATGTAGTTTTTAATTATTTTATAAGCATTTTTTTATTGGTTTCTGATCAATATTTATTTTTTTCAGTTTATTAATAGTTATAAATAATTTAATTATATACGAGGTTTGATAAAAATATATGTGGAATTTTTAAATTTCGCGAGCTGTACAAGTCTAATTGTCACAATTTTTTGTTTTTGTGTTGGTACACTTGTCCCTGACGTATCTTGACATTGGTAGCCATATTGGATGCTTACTTTATTGTTGGCTGTCGAAAAGGTTACACATATTTTGGTATGCTCGGTGATTTTTAACTCGTGGAAAAAATGGAACAAAGAATTTGCATTAAATTTTGCTTTAAGAATGGAATAAAGTGCAGCACCGCATTGGAAATGTTGAATGATGCTTTTGGCGAATCTTCTATGAATAAAACAAGCGTTTACAAGTGGCACAAACTTTTCCAAGAAGGCCGTGAAGACGTTGAAGATGACGAGCGCCCTGGACGCCTCAGCACATCAACAATCGATGACAACGTCGAAAAAGTGAAGAAAATGATTATGGGCAATCGCCGAATTACTATCAGAGAGATTGCTAATGATGTTAACATATCATTTAGCTCATGCCAAGCAATTTTTTCGGATGTTTTGTGTATGAAACGTGTGGCAACAAAATTTGTTCCGAAATTGTTGAATATTGTTAGTGAATTTTTGGCCAAAAACAACACTGTTATGATGTCTCAACCTCCGTATTCGCCAGACATGGCCCTCTGTGAGTTCTTCCTATTCCCGAAGCTGAAAAGAACCATAAAAGGACGACGTTTTGCTAACATTGAAGAGATAAAAACAGAATAGCTGAAGAAGCTAAACGCTATATCGGAAATTGCGTTCCAGAAGTGCTTCGAAGATTGGAAAAAGCGTTGGCACAAATGTATTATATCTGATGGGGAGTACTTTGAAGGGGACAAAATTAATATCGATAAATAAATAAAAATTTTTTGAGAAAAATGAAAATTCCGCGTATTTTTTTATCAAACCACGTATGTATCGAAACCATAATTTTATTAAAATTAAATTTTTATAATTTTTATTTAAAAAATTTTTCTTTATCTTTAATATAATATTTTATTTTATTTTGGCCAGGAACTATCTAAAAAAAAATTCGTCAGTAATTTCCGATTTTTTGCTAGATAGAAATTTTCCTTACTATTTGCAATGCACAGAATTTCCTTACTATTTTTCTTGTATAGTTTCTGACAAATAACTGGCCCAAAAATACTGAACAGTATTTTCAGAGTTTTTACTGGACAGAAACTATCCAATATTTACTTATTATTTTTCTTGCATAGTTTCTGACAAATAACTGGCCCAAAAATACTGAACAGTATTTTCAGAGTTTTTACTGGACAGAAACTATCCAATATTTACTTATTATTTTTCTTGCATAGTTTCTGACAAAAATCTACCAAAGAAATACTAAACAGTATTTTCAGAGTTTTTAATGGACAGAAACTTACCCAGTATTTACTTACTATTTTTTCAAGTTTAGTTTCTGATTCGTAATTGGTCATGAAAAAATAGCCAGTATTTTCTATCAAGTTTCAAAACAGTAAGTGTCTAATTAATCCTAGCCAGTAAAAACTGTCTAGTTATCGGCTAGTTTAGTTATCAGTTTTTCCCTGAGATGTTTCTACTTGGGTAGTACCGACCGATCGACTGTTCTCGTCTCCTTTGTTGTTACTTTTATATTTGTTAGCAGTGACCTCCACACTCCTATAGCATTTGTTTCCGACATTATTATTTCTAAGTTTTTGAACCGTTATTACTGTTTATCAGTTTGTTTTAAATTAACAATATCTACATTTCTTACACTACATGATCGCACGCGCTCCGCCGGCCGCGCGCCGCCTCACATTTTTCGTTCTCCTGAACTCAATTTTGCGAATGTCGAAGTTCTTTCTGCGCCAAAATGTTCTTAAAGAATTATACTAAATTTTTATGATTACGTAAAAACCCAAAAGTCGATTTTTTTGAAAATTTCAAACCGTTCTAATTTCCTTAATGAAAGAAAATTTGTGAATGATTATGCAAGGTATAATAGATGAGCTGTACTGGCGACATCTGTCATTGTGTGCTTATATATTAGGTCAAACTGAATAAAAAGGTCCTCTATCATTTTCTTAATAATTTTATAGATTTTTAATTATTAATTAAAGAAGATTGGCGGATGGTCGCTTGCGATGATATATATTAATGATATTTAATTAATAATTAAAAATCTATAAAATTATTAAGAAAAAATATAGAGGACTTTTTTGTTCAGTTTTACCTAATGTGCAAGCACATGACGACAGATGTCACCACTATAGCTCATCTACAATATTTCGCGTGATCATTTATGAATCTACAATATTTCGCGTGATCATTTTTAATTAATATCTCGATAATTATCAAAATCGATATTAGCAAATATCGCAAAACGGTATAGGACTTTTATGTTCACCTTATTTCGTACTATGCCTCCACGAAAGGTGGCTTCAAAGATTGTTCTGGGACACTGTATGTCGTATCGTTCTTATTAATTAGGGAATTAGAATTCAAAAGTTTAATCTCATTGTGAATTATGGTCACTTCTGCTTATGTCTTGTTGTTTCAATAAAAAGTAGTAATAGCAATATGCATGCGAAATGATTATAAGTAGTAATACAGTACCGTTTGTTACAAATATTAGTTTTGCCCACTATAATTATTTCACCATGCAATTGTATAGCCGCAATATGAAATACTTTTCTTTCTCAGTGCAATGTCAGTCGCGACTTTCTATCGAACATCGTCGAGTCACACGCCGAGTGATCTTTACATTCGTATCTACGATTCGAGGCCTTCGCCTCTCGCGAAGTAGTTGACAATCGAGTGACATAGGCATTGTCCTTGGCAAAATTGATTCCGCTGTTCTCTCCACAATGGTCTAGGGCGTGATGTAATAATACCGTGACTTTGTTAGAAATATCGCTGACCTACACATTGAACTTCATTGACTGTCCACATTATGACTCGGACTTTCAGATTTCAATCGAACATTGTGTAGGTCACGAAAGTTAACGGCTAATATTGTGGGAAATGGTAAGCTCGAAGTTGAAGAGTTCTCCCTTATTTGAGTAATTTCGCAGAGATAGCAGAATTTATTGATTTCGAAAAATTCACGACCAGTATTGGGTATTAATCGATTAAAATTCTTTGATTAAAATAATCAGTGATCAAAATTAATCAATAATTACATATAAAAGTACAAATAATTTTATGAAATGATGAAGCTAATTATTAATCAAACTTTGATGTGATTGTATTACATGCTGATTAATTTTTAATTTCATCAAACGATTAAATATTCATGATTACATATACGATTGATTAATTTTGATTATTGATTTGCTGATTATTTTAGTAAAAAACAATTTTCATTGATTGCCCAACACTGTTTACAATAAGTATGGAAATAATATAAAAAAATATAATCTTATATATGGCTGCAAGACGATTTTTCTCAAACTAAGCCAAAGATATTCCAAGCACAATGTTCTTAAAATTAGAGGAATTTCGTTCTTTATCTTTACAATACAAGTTTTATTTTTAATAGAAATTTCTTAAAAGTAAGATGGCATTCTATTTCAAGTAATATATCCTTCTTGACTCGAAAGAGACAAAGATAAAATAATATTTAATAAATTTTCGATTAATAGTCCACTTTATTAGAGAAGGAATATCTTTTCGGTGAGAATTTTCGCTTAGAATATAGGTTAATAAGAAATAGCAATTAAAGTTATTTTTTTGCGTGTTAAAATATTTTTTTTATCTTAGAAGAGCTCATATGGAAAAAATTTTCGCTAAGGATAATATTATATTTTTTCATCTTTCTATATTTATCTAATTATCATTATCTCTATATTTTTTTAGTGAATATAGAAGTAAGAAGCAATATTTTCGAAAATCTTAAATATATCTAGTTTTTTGAGAAAGAATACCGACTAGCTTTCTATAATTCATTAATATTGTTAATAATCCAAGAATATTCGAAATCAAATATATTTCTTTATAAAAAAATATATATTTTCTTTATACAAGTATTTTCTCATCGTCAATTTGCGTATAAATGTATTGTTATAAGGTTGATGAAAAGTGAACGTTCTGCTAGATATTTCAAATTTATCACAGCATATTCTGATGCTAAATATTTTTGTGAAATATTCATTCTTTTTACACATTTTCTGCTGTATGGATCTTCTATATGGATCTTGCTATAGAACTGAAAAGTATTAACGCATAGAACTTTTATGTATAGAATGATTTGAAATATAAGTAAGAAGCAATACTAAAATAATAATATAATAGAATAATATAATAAATAATAGAATAATATAATATAATATAATAATAGAATAATATAATATAATAATATAATAGAATAAGTAAAACTAGACGCGTTGATATGATATACCTTGTGTGATTTCAGTTCCTGAAACACTCGTCTATCTGGACTTGATAAGTTATAATTTATATTTTATTATCGCTTTTTATTATCGGCTCTTTATCGACAAGCGAAACGAGAGACATCGTCCCGAATGAGAGACAGACGCCCCGAATCCTTTGTCGAAACTGCACGCGTACAAAATACGTGCAATTAAACGTATTATTATTAATAAATGAAAATATCTCGAGGTGTCCGGTAATTTTCATAATTATGGTGTTAAGCGTTGATACACTGAGTGTTTGCAATTAACATACGAATACATTCCGCGCATAAAACGACAATTCGCGCCACACGTACGTAGGTAGATGATTAAAAACATATGTTACACTTGAGCGAAATATGATATCAAGCTGATTTCAATCATTATCCATTATTTCACCTAATAATTTTGTTAATATGCCGAATGAAGAGTTGTTTAATAAATGAAACACGAGAATTATAGAAGATTCGTTGGATTACGCGCTGGAATAGAACGCATTATGCCGCTTTGTATATACAGGGTGTCGGATATGAGATTGTCAAAAGCACGTGTGCGTGCAGGTAGATTAGACCGAACTGAATAAAACTTCCCTCCATTATTTTTGCAACCACGTAAAATTTTGCGATATTAATAAAAAAGACTGGTAAACCAATGCGTACGTGCACTAAAAAAATGATATTCTCCTTTTAAGAACATTCCACTTACGTAAAGAATATCCTCCCCTAAAATAGGCACCAAGAGGATTTTCTTACGTAAAGAGTAGAATCATGTAAAGGACTAGTACTATATATTCTAAATATTAGATATAAAGAAAATTAGTACTATATACTCTAAATATTCTAAACATTAGTACTAGATATTCGAAATCTATAAGGTTGTGTAACTAACGTACTGCATTGCGAAAATTCGATACACATTTGCGACAGTTGAAAAAGTTTCAATCAGTAGTAATGGAAATCATAAACTATATTTACTTGAAAAAGTCGCAAATCTCAGCTATTTTCGACGAAATCGTGCCTACAGAGAGCGTCCCACACTGGAAAAAAATTGTTAAAAAACTGTTTAGAAACTGCTAATAAATAGATTAGATATTGATCAAAATCTAGTTCAATCAGATCAAAAACTGATATAAAACTGTCCAGTTCAACTGTCCAGTTTTTGACGAAGTGAACGTCGACCAAACCAGTCAGTTTATAGCTAAGAAAACTGATTAAAAACTAGCTAGTTACCAAAAATTCCAGGACAGTTACTGGTCAGAAACTGGATAAATTTCTACTCAGGTTGTGTTCTCCATACAAAGGACTATACTTTTCCGTCATTTTTAATAGATATTCTTATAGAATAACAATATTTCCTTCTTTTCGTAGGTTTCATAGAATATCATCTGAAATGAAGAAAATTCTTACTCGAAATCATAAACCATACCCGAACAAAAATGTATCTAGTAGAGC